GGGGCCGGCCGCACCCACGCCGAGCTGTCCCGCCGGGGGTGCCGCCGTGGGGCGCGCCGTGCCAGGGCTCCCCGGGGAAGGGCCCGTTCCCCCGCTTCGAGCTTGATTTGCCCCTTTCAGACCATGTGGGCCTTCTATTTGCATATTTACCTTAAAACGTGGCCAAGGCGAAGTAGCAGCCTTCCTTTTAGCTCTCTTTTGACGGGAGTGGAACTAGGTCTCTGCCTCGGGGACCACCCACCCCCCGTTCCCGACACTCTCACCCCACCTCGCTCGGCAGCGCCTGTGCCTGTGCTCAGCTGTAGAGAGCCGCACACCTGGCTGGTCACACAGCCACACCCCCAGGCTCCGGAGCAGGAAGGGGCATTAAACGCATCTAACCACCCCCTCGCGTGACAGGCGGGGAAACTGAGGCCCCGCTTGCGAAGCGTCTGCTGCCGCTCTCAATCCGCTCTTTCCTCATCCAGTGGGACGGAGCTCTTCGTCCACATAGGGCTAAAGAGGGATTTGTGGAAAACTATATTTAAGAATTGTGAAAAGTTATTATGAAATAGTTCGCTTCCTTGGGCCCTGCTAGGCTGAGGGCCTGATTCAGGCATTTAACCAGCCACAGACTAGAGCCTAGAAGGTGGAGTCTCCACTACGCCATCGGGACATGACTCTCGAAGGGCTCTGCGCCGGGCACCCCCATACAGTACACTCTCGGGGAGTGGTTGAATCACCCACCTCTCCTCCAGCTGCCATGCTTTCCCTTTACTGGAACCTTCCTTCTGCGTCTCCCCCAATCCCCCCATCCCCCTATCCCGCACAATCCTCTCCACCTAGAACCTGCAGATAATTAAGGTGCTGGCTGAAACCTTGCTTTGAACATTGTCCTCTCCCAGGGCTGGGTCCTGGACCCTCTCCTCTCCTCACTCTATATCAGCATTGTCCAACTCAAACATAATGGGAGGCACAATCCCATAGGTAATTTAAATTTTCAAGTAGCCACATTAAAAAAAGTTAAACTGTTAAAATTAATTTTAATAATATATTTTATTTAATTCAATACATCCAAAATATCATTTTAACATGCAACATATATAAACTTATTAATGAGCTATTTCACATTCTTTTATACTAAGGCTTCAAATTTCTGTGTGTATCTTACACTGAGAGCACATCTAAATCCAGATGAGGCACATTTCAGTTGCTTAAGAGCTGCCCGTGACTGGCAGTCACTGTATTGGACGGCCCAGCTCTAGACCCTCTCCCCAGGCCAGCTCACCCATGACCCTGGCTGTCATCAGGGTCAATGAGGCACACGTGTTGTCTCCAGCACAGCCGTCTCCGAGTACTAGGCCCACACACCTGTGCCCCTCGGCCTCCTACCTGGCCTTCCTGCATCCCTTCTCGCCATCCGCCAACCAGTCCCCCACACTGCAGTCACACTAATCTTTTCAAAACAGAGATCTGATGGTTGTCACTGCTCAGCTTACCATCCTTCTTTTTTGATCCTGGGATGAAGATCAAAATTTTTTATATGGTCTACAAGGCCCTGAATGATGGGGCTCTTCCTACCACCACCACCACCGCCCCAAGTCTGGCTAATTCCAACTCACTCATCAGACATCAAGGTGGTCTTCTCTTCCTCAAGGAGGCTCTTCTGGAGCCCCAGACCGACCGCCTTCTCATTCTGACACCGTCTGTGCCTCCTTCATAGCAACTGCCGTCAATGCCATTTTGCACCAGTGGGGTTATCCTGACTGATTCCTGTCTCCCCAACTAGGCTTTCAGCTCCATAAGGGAAGGGCCAGTGTCTGGTTTTGCTCACCATTGTATCTTCAGTACCTTGCAGGGTGCCTGGCACATGATAGGGCTCAAAAAACATGTGTTGAAGAAATCAACAAGTCTCCTGTGTTCTGGCTTAAGGAAAAATGATGAAACTAGCTGACACTTACTCAGCACTTCCACTCCACCAGGCACTGTCACCACTTCACAGAGCGGGGATGGGGCACAAGGAGGTTAAGTAACTCACTCAAGGTCACACAGCTGGTAATAGTGGAGCCAGAGTTTGAACCCTAGCAGTCTGGCTGCAGAGTGCATACTCTTAACCATCATGCTGCACTAAATTACTCAATTTCCTTATCTATAAACAAAGATGCTGATAATACTTCCCCTAAAGATCATCAGGAGGACCAGGGGAGAGAGTGAATGTGAAATGATGCAGTAAAACATAAAGTGCTGTACTGAGATTCAGCTTCTTAAGGCAAGGAGGGGAGAGGTTGGACAGGTTGGTGTCTAAGGCCCCATTCAACTCCAGAATCCTGATTTCTCTTGTATATCTAAATCCTTATAGGAGCCTTTTGAAGATTAAGAAAAAAATCTCTGAGACGCTAAGGGAAACATTGTCATTAATGAACAGTGGCCAGTGGGTACGGAGGTCCTGCCTTGGTTCCCTCCAAATCGCCACTAATGGGAGCAGCTCTGGCCCTGCATTTCCAACAACTCACAGCCCAATGGGGGCAAAATGAAAGTCCTGTCCGTCCATATTCAAAGTTCATTCAGAAGGTAGTTCCCTTGGATCCTATTAGATATTAGGAAGATTGCAAGCTGAGAAAGAGAAAATGGTTTTGTGCTGTCTTAAGGCATTTGCTCCAACAGGCTGATCTGGACTCGGGCAGGGGTGATGAAGGGACTGCAGCCCCTCTAGCTGACGCCAGCCATCCCAGCAGCTGGAGGGGCTTCCTTCCTCGCGGTCAGAGGACGGACAATGTTGGGCATCTATGAGGTCAGAAGATAATCCTTCTAGATACGCCCCATGTCAACAGACAGTAATACTCACCATCTATTGACAGTCTGCTATGCCCTAGGCACTGCTAACTATTTACATAACATTTATTTCTCAGAACAAAAGCCTTGTTATCCCTGTTTTCACCTGAGGAAGCTGAGTGTGTTTACCTGACTTCCCTGAGGTCACACATCTAATGGGGCAGAGTCAGAATTCTGACCCAAGATGCCTAACTCCAGCCTGACGGAAGGAAACCGTCAGGTGACTGGTTTTGCCAATGACTCAGCGGCTCTCCTGCAGTGCAAAAGAGTAATTACTTGAGTTAGAAACTTAGAATAATATCCCCAGGCAGGCAACCAAAGGACCAACCTATTCCTCTAACATTGTGGAAACAAAACCCACAGTACTCTGCACAGCATCTAGCTTGCAGAGACTGCCCCTCTGTGGTCACCAGGGGCTACCTCCTCTGCTGCCACAGCCACATCTCTCAACCAGGGTGGGGTGTCAGTCTGTGATCTCTCCTCAGCCTCTTCTTGCCTTTTCTCAGGAGCCCCAGAGCCCTGCATGCAACCCCGCTGAGGACGGGTGCTCACTTAGCTGTGCAGGGAGGTGGTCATGAGAAGCAAGTTGAAAGCCCAGCACAGGAGACAGTCCCTGGAAGCCCCTCCTCTTTCCTTCTCCCCAGGGACGATTATTACTCCAGTAAATTCTTCATTTCAGTGGGGCCTTGTTATTTAGCTGTTAAGCAAAGGGAAGGGGATCTATTTTTATATTTTTGCTTTCTTCCCTAAGATTTCCAGCTGGTTCCTCCAACCCCATTCTGTTATTATGCATTTATGCAACTAGACCGATTTGTGTTCTTAAAAGAAACGTTATTAATAATTAATAAAGCTTCTTAAGATAAAAGCTGCCTCCTGCACTAAATAATATAAATAGCTAAAATACATTGAGTGTACCAGACATTCTTCTGAGCATCTTTAACCCTAATAACAACTCCATGAGGTAGGTGCCATAATCATCATCACCATTTTACAGATGAGGAAACTGAGGCACAGAGAGAATGAATAACTTGTTCAAGATCAACAGTTAGTAAATCATGGGACCTAGGGTTTGAACCAGAGTCAATCTTTAGCGTTTGTGCTTTTACCACAATGCTAGAGCTAACATCCTGGATTGAGGTTGGGCCTTGAAGGTCTCCTATTCTGTCCCTGTGCCCTTAATCCCTTATAGGAAGGAAGGAGCCAACAAGTGTCTATCAGGGCCTCTGAGGACAGAGGCTGTCCCGCTCACCTGTGGGTCCCAGTCATCCAGCCTAGTGCCCGGCCCCGCAAGTGTTCAGTTCAAGTCTGAGCCAGGAAAGGTCATCCATGAGGCATGCATGCTGAGGGTGGAAAAGGAAGGCAAATGGAAAATCAAAGAGTCTCAGAAGCCAAAGGAATTGCCTTTTCATCTCCCAACCTGTGGGAGGATTGGATTCCTCTGCTCACTCT